AGTAGTAGTAGTAGTAGTAGTAGTAGTAGTAGTAGTAGTAGTAGTAGTAGTAGTAGTAGTAGTAGTAGTAGTAGTAGTAGTAGTAGTAGTAGTAGAGAGTAGAGAGAGAGAGAGAGAGAGAGAGAGAGAGAGAGAGAGAGCTAACATGTTCTTGCAGCAGGTATCAACAAGAACGGTCAGATTGATTATATGCATTCGAATTTCCTTGACTTTGTCCTCAGGGAGCTTGTCAAATTTCTCCTCAATAAACTTGGACAGACGCTCCACTGTCACCTCCAGCTGCTGCTGCTGATCCTCAAACAGGTTTTGCTTCAATTGTCTCTCCTCTTCAGTCATATCATCTTTAAATAGGTCATCTCCAAACATGTAGAAAGCAAAGGGGTATGAGTAGGAAAGGACACGCCTTGATCTGAAGAGCCTGTTTAGCCCATTTGTCACCCAACTGTAATCCCTAAATCCATCGTCCTTGCTTTCTGAGGTTGCTATTGTTGCTTGGACAGTTTCTCTAAGCTTGTTTTCACGCTTCATGGAATCCATGTGAGCTTTGTAACGATTGTGGTAGTGCATGTAACGATTAAGATCTCTTTTGGCCCTCTCTGCCACTTTATTATGATCTGATTTGTAGCGTCCACAACTGTGGCCAGCAATGCCTGTCCAGGTGTGATCACGACCAGTAGCACCACCACATAACCAACTACCAAAACAGAAACAAAAAATAAAAAATCCTTCCAACATTCTTTTATTCAATTTGCAAATAACTCAAAATCACTTAAACAAATAGTGATTTGCTTGAAAATAATAAAAGGTAAACTTTTTCTTTCTAATTAGGAGAGAATGTATCACATGGAAATATCCTGCATAAAATTATAAGGGAAAAAGTTCATATAGAGCCGAGGCTCTAAACAATCAAATTAGAGCCCACCTCAAAAATTTTACTAGAAGAGGTTGTTTTGATGCCCAAATATACTGAAATTGATCATCTCGACATCAAAATGCATGGACATGAGAAAAAAATGGATTTCAAGTTAAGGAAATAGTGAATCTTGTAACGCATTTTTGGACCATCAATTTCCAAGATTTTCAAATTTTCATACATCTGCTCAATTTACACTATTTTTGAAGCTTTAAATTTTATAATTAAATATGAAAATATATTTTAAGACTATCACAAAGATTTTCAGTATTGAAACCACATTTCTCGACTCTATTTGAAGGTGCACTTTACTTTGATTGGTTAGAAACTTGGCTCTATACAAACCACACCCAATTATAAAACCCAGAAGAATATATTATCAGAAATTGAAAATCAATATCATGTAAATAATCCCAATTTCCAAAAGCTGCTTGAAAGAACTTAACAACTGTTTTGCACCCTTGACAATTAAATCATCCATTGCTATTTAACTAAATCAATGTCCATTGCAGTCACTAGTGTACGTCAAACTGGACCTTTTTATGACCATGATTACTGGCCAGAAACTGCACTCATAATCGGTGAAAGACAATTGGTGAATTCATTCAAGCAATGGCCAGATTCAATTCCCAGCCATAGCCAAACTAATCCACAAAATTACATAGGTTAAAAGTGGTTCAACCGTCCCTTGACTGTGTCAACTACTGTATGACACTAAAGGCTGCAAATGAGTAAACTATGTAGAATCACCACGTAACCCAATAGTATCACTGGAAGAGCTCTATAAATATTACGTCATTGGTGGCAGTATAGTACAATGAGGTATATTAACAACCATGCACTTCTTTAGGCTTATTCTTATTTATTCCACAATAGATATATCATGCAAACAACATAATAGGTAATATTGGTAGAATCATTCATTTTAATAGTGTAAGGATAAAATGTATGTCACAAACATGAATAACATATTCGTTACACACACAGTATTGATAGAACACAAAAGGCATTACCTGCACAATAATATAAACAATGCTAAATATGTAATCATCTAATAGATAAACACGTGCAAAGATAGAACGTAGTAGATGTTCAAACAATTATCTTGTGAAGTATTTTGGAATGATATAACTACGATCAGATACATATATTTTTAGGCAAAATATAAAGTTACACACTTCTAAATGTACATCCTACACATATAGTATTGTTTCACCATTTACACATGCGCAGACACACACACACACACACAACACAAAAGTTGATTTTTTTTTCACAGCAACAGTCTCTAGATAAGTTTGTTGCCTTGATTGAGTTAGAAGCATCCAATTTCCTTGCAACTTACTCCTAGGGCATAAAGTGTCTAGGAACTATACAGCCAACCATGTTGGATTAATTTAATATGTCAGAAATCTTCTTCTCTCCATCTCCAGGATAAAGGTTACAATTGTATGCCCCTGTTGACCTCCGATTATGAATTCTTTACAGATTTCCAGTTACTATCCCTCAATAATCTTAGTGATAGACAATCATGAAATTGTTTGCATTTGTGCCCTATGACCTAGAAACTTGAATTATACTCCCTGCACCTCCTCTAGGTAGCCGCAATCTGCCCAAGCACATGAAAAATCCAGATCACCCAAAAGTTTGTGTCCTTCAACTTCAAGAAAAGATCCCACTTTTGCTGCTTCAATATTCAAAGGTTTCACCACCATCACATGAAAGAAGCAGTCCATAATTAATAAGAGAGAGTGAGAGAGAGAGAGAGAGAGAGAGAGAGAAGATACGATCAAATCTGTTCTTGTGGCTAACAGTATCTATCCACTCATCAAGAACCTAAAAATGGAATTCCACATCCAGTAAATTTCCTCCCATCCTTTTGTTTCCCATAGCACCATCAGCTTTAGCCTACTGCATTTATCTTCCTTTAAGATGGCTTAAGACTATTCAAAATGTCTGACCCAGTGATATCATCCAAGGTCCCAGCATTCAAACCAAGTTCACCAGAAACCGCGATGGCAGTCTACTGATTGGCTCACATGAGCTACATACTCTGAGGACAACGAAATTGTTGATTTCTCAGCAAAGGGGACTATAAAAATGATCTGCCGATTGAGATCTTCCTCCCGCTCCCTCGACTCCTCCCTTTGTTTATTGGAATCACATCAACTGCAACATGGGATTACCTTCCAGAACATGTGTACAATGAATGTTAACAAAAAAAGAGGGATACTATAAAAGTTGCCTGGTTGAAGACCTGTGCAGAAAATGTGACCAGATGAAATATGGAGTGTATAGTTCAGGCTTCAAAGAACAAGTCAAATGCATATGGACCAATTAAAAAGAAACAAATCTGAGATGATCCGAACAGAATTGTCAAAAAAATAAAGAGGTCCAAAATACAAAAATAAATCCAAAAAGGAACATAAGTATCCTGAATTCATAAAGCATATCCCAACTAATAGAAGCAATCAATCATTGCTCAATCTCTCAGTCACCAAAATAGGATTGGCAACAAATTCGAACTAGGCCAATTATCAGAAAAAGCACATAATTTAGGGGACAACTTACGGGAGGGCAGAAAAAAACCCTCGGTGAGGGTAAAAAATGTAATTTTTCCTCCTAAAAAGGGGGAAAAAGGTTTTAGAGGTATTCTAAACCCCCGATAGAAAATCTGTGGCCTTTAGGGTGAGAAAAACCCCCCAAAACCCTCTTTTGTGATTTATCGGAAGATTGATAAATTTTTTATTTTTTCAATTTCTTCTTAAATTGAAGGCAATAGTTCGTGGGTGGATTTGGAGCTTCAAGTAGTTGATTTTGAAAACTTTTGGCGACCCAATAGACGAGGTTTGCACCGACATCGATTTGATTTTGATATTTTTAATGTATTATCATATTTGAAAAAGAGTTTTGATTTTATTGTGCTACAACATATTATGTTATGCATCATGGGTGTTTTCTTTTACTTTTTTTTTTCTTTTACGATATATTTACATGTTTGTAGTTAAAAGATAGATTTTTTTGGTGATTTTTAGATTTTTTTGGTGATTAATTGAAGTTTTTCTCACTTTGATGATGAAATTGAGCATATATCATATTCTTTTATTAATAGTTGATTCCTTTTTGTTTTAGTTTATTTGATAAATAATTGATTATGTGATATCTTAATGGGTTAAGTCTTATGTGAAAGTGAAACTAAGGTCAATGTCTTACATATTCAGCTATTCATTTAAGTCTTATTGTAAAGTAATAGTTATTGACTTAATTCTTTAATCTTATGTATTTTACAGGTTTGTTGATTAGGTGATTGATTCTAATCCCCTGCTTTTTATGTTTGGGGTGGGGGGAGGGGGTTTTTTATTTTGGTGAGCGCACCCTGTCTCTAGGCACCCACCCGACCACCTAGGCGCCTGAATCCATCTTTTTGAACATTCATCACAATAATCTTGATCACTGAATGCGAAATTGAGTGACTGCAATTATTTCATTGACCAAGCTCAAATTTTAAAAGAAAATTTCTCGAATTTGTGACACATCCAAGCTATCAAATTTCACATCAAATGGTTCTAAGGAATTGTGACCACCTTGTATGAAAGGTAAATGGTCTCATTGTATACAATCCCTTACATATAAGTTTATCTTTTTGAAATCTGTTTTTACTTCATTCAAAGAAATTTGCAGAAAATAACATGCTTTTAGTCAGAAATGACTAAAAATAGTTGGAAATCCCAAAAAAAAAAAGGTAAATAATATCGTACATAATAATACAAGGTACATACCACACAGCTAAAAGATATAATATCATCCAGGATATATTAATTTCAGATAGAATAGCTATTTCAAATAAAATTAATTGACATCCAAACAGGCCCCTAGCTAGTAGGAGAATATAGAATATCAATTCACAAACAGCTAAAAATCAATAAATGCCTTGCCAAAAGATATACTGAAAACAAGAACAAACTACAAAAAGATGCCTAGTGAGAAGCATAAGTGTTAATGTACACAATCAAAATCATTTTGTCGATATATTTATCAGAAAAAGAAGAATAGCTAACAATAAAGACTAGAATGCAATTCCAACAAAGAAGGGAAGAATAGATCAAAAAAAAAAAAAATAGAAGAGAAATGACTTCTTCTCCTTTAAAGTCGGGACCAACCAGCATTCTAGTATATATGATTTTCATATGCAGTTCTTCCATGCATTAAAAACTAAAAATAAAAGCACAATCCTGTAAAAAACAAGCACCAAGAATACATGTATCTAGACATAATTTGCTATTATCGCAAGTAGGAGGCCAAGGAACAGCCAAAAAATAAGTCAAATACTATGCAAGAGATGGTTATATACCAAAAATACTGCCCACATAAGCAAGTCACTAAGTTGCAGCCACCATTTTTCTCCACTGGCTTGTGACACTTCGGGCAAGGCTTAGTGTGAACTGTAAGCCAGTTGACCGTCTCTGATTCATCCTTACATTTCTTAATCCATAGCTCCCACATCAAACACGAACAAGGAGAGTGTGCCTCAGATGAGCATCTGAAGCAAAACTGAAGACCACATGTGCATTCCACCTCACAATAGCTATCACCATCAATACGAATTGCATTTCCACAATGTGGAACACTTGGGCACCACTTGACCTTGCCATTATCTTCAATATACGACTCAAGAAGAAACCGTTCAAAACGCTCTGCCACCTCAGGATCCTTCACGCTAACTAGGTTTCTTATTATCGCCTCATCACAAATTGCATTGCACTTGTGTGCCATGCATCTTACACGCCGACTTTCTCCCTCCTTTATTTTAATAATAAAATGTTCCGTCCAACCTAATCACGCACAAGCAAATAAACTTGGTCACAACATCTAATTGTGAAGCAATTAAACAATATCAAGCCCCATTTCAATAGCCCAACAACTCCAATAAGGAAGGGTTTCCTTTTCAAAATTCAAAGTCATGAATATTTTGGCAGAGGTTTGTTAATGAGCAGTGTCAGGAAAGCAACTCAGTCATGAATAGTGGAGCAGATCAAAGTGCACCATCCTTCACTCCTAGATCGGTGGAGGAACGAACAACGCTAGTTATTCTTAAATGGTATGACCAAACGAGACCTTAATTTGTAAGGAACTGGATTCATTAACAACAGAGTAAAGAATGCTTACAATCATTGCAGAAACAATGTCCACAATCCATAGTAGTAACATCATTGGGAGATATGTCCTCCATGCATATATTGCACATTATTGATGATGTGGAACGTGCAGAGGCCTGATGCGCTGCATCTAAGATTGGAATACCAGCTTCAGTGAATAACCGATCTCTTCCCTTCTCTACAAGCACAGCTAGTAACCTCTCAACATCCCATCGATGATGGATGAGTAGAGTACGAGCATGATGCTCCTTGAGTGTCAGCATTTCTGTTACTCTCTTCAAATCTTCCCTCTACACATGGTTAGTCATCAATCAGGGGGAGCAAAAAAATACTTGAGAACTAGGAACACAGCAAATGAAGTAATATTATGCATATCAAACATGATTTTCTGGGACACAGCCAAATCATGGCAGATTGAAAACCACTCATATGAAATGTCAACAACACAAAAGCATACCTGGGCAGCAAGAAGAGATGCCCTGGTGATAACCTGAGAACAAGCCAGAATATCTCATCAAATAGGAGAACTTTCAGACCCTGAGTTATCTTAAAGAGATAATAGTGAACGCTATATACAAGGCAATATTCCAATACCATGCCCTCATCTCAAGTAATGAACCATACAGGCATTAAAAAAACAAATTATGAAACATAATATACAACAAAGTCACATGGGTTCAAACAAAATGATCATTATTGTGGTCTGCAACAGAAACTACAAAACAAGGGATAAGACATAAGATAATGTTCATAAAACCATGCTTTGCAGTTCAATACTGGGAGATTCATGTCATGCAAGGATGACACAAGAAGGATTGTTACATAGTGCAGTAGATTTATGACAAAAGTGACTAGCATGCATGTCCTTTATACTGTTTCAATGGATGCAATGGAAATGTAAACCATTGTTAACTGCATGACCAGGAGGAGCGTAAACAGAAATCAACACTTGTACTGCTTGTATATTCTCCACGAATCAATGTACCTATATCTTTGGGGTGCATTAATAAAAGGTAAAGCATACAATGAGACCATTTATCTTTGGTAAAAGGTGGTCACAACTAATCTTGACCGTTGAATGTGAAACTGGGCTGCTGCACTTGTTCCATTACTCAAGCTAAAAGTTCAAAAGAAACTTTGTCGAACTTCGCAACACATCCAAACTATCAAATTTCACATCAGACGGTTATAAATAATTGTGACCTCCTTGTACTAAAGGTAAATGGTCTCACTGTGTACAATCCCTTAATAAAATTAGTTTACTAGGAAAGTATTATAGAAACGCAATCCCAAGTCTAGGCAGATATTCCATAAGAAATAGAGAAAACAGGGTAACTTTTCTTCATGGACAAAAAACACAGAATCAATAGGAAACAATACTATAATTGAGTTCTCCAAACTCATCCAACTGTGAGAGAGGTGCATGTAATTCTAAAGTTATTACAGATTAACTAAGAAGACCAAAAAAATATTTTGAAAAAGAACATATCAGACTCAACAAAAGCCAGATAGCGCAGTGGATCTTAGACAAGCAAAATATTTCAATCATATACATGGATCCCATAATATATCTAAAAAGAATGCCATAAAATTAGTCATAAACCACTGTAAAAGAAAAAAAACAAAAAACAAAACAAAAGATTCCAACAAATCTAAACAACACCACAAATAAGCAAAGGTACAATGAAAAACAGTGTAACAGACAGAAGAGAAAAGAAAGAAAGATAATTGGAACAAAGTTCAAGTCTCAAACACTACTTCAAAACTTACATTTATCACTACAGATAGATAAAAGAATCATAGCAACTACAACCAGTTAAGTATCTCTCTTTATCACAACTACATGTTCAACAGGAAAAAATAATAATTAAAAAACAAGTATATGCAATGCTTCATCCAAAGGGGTAGCATATTTCACAAAATAAAATAACTAATAAGAGGAAAAAAAAATAATGCAATCAAAGACCCAATCTTTTCGCTGGAACCAGAGAAACACACTAACATGAGTAGCAGAAGCTAATCTCAACATCATGCATGGGAATTCCATATACGAATAACAGAACAAAACCTAGAATCAAACGATTACACATACTTCACTGAAAAAATCGAAAAATTCAATAAAACCTAATCCAAAAAGTCAATACACGCAACACCAATCCAAAAGTCAAGCTCGAGTCACGACAAAAAACAAAAATTTCAGTGCAAAATAACTAAGTAATCGGCAATCAGTTTTCTATTACTCACAATAGCCAGAGCAGGAATTCAAACCTTAGAAGCACTAGAAGGGGTTCTCTGTGGAGTCCATAAGAGATCGTCTTCCTCTTGATCCAATCCATCAAGTGAGTCATCGCCATAGTAATCATCATCGCTGGTCTCGAAATCCGCCATTGAAGAAGAGCTTCAAGCTTTCCAGTGATTTTCAGGTGCCAAACCACGGCAATATCTCATAAATACCTCGTGAAAAAACAGGGAAATTGCAGAGAAGAGAGAGAAGAAAGAGAAGCTTGGTGAAGAAGCGAGATGGGAGAGAGAATGGAAACTCGGTAGAAAAAAGAGGGAGGTTTCTTTAGGCTTTAGAACACGATCGTCGATGGGAGTCGAGGACGAAAGAATTCGTGTATCCCTACCTTCGATCGAAATGACCAAGGTGCAACGACAAACCACTAAACTTCCTTCAATCTTTTGTCTGTATTGTATTGCGTAATGACCCCTCGATTTTTTCAACCACATTAGTCCGGGATAATATATTATGAAAAAAACTTTATATAGAGCTTACGCTTTAAACAATCAACCAAATCGGAGCCTATCACAAAAATTTCATTACAAGAGATTGTTTTGATGTCCAAGTATCCTCTGATTGATCATCTCGATATCAAGATGTATGGACATAAGAAAAAAAATCGATTTTTAGTTTTGAAAATAATGTATTTTGTAATGCATTTTTGGACCGTATTTTCAATATTTTCAAATTTTCATAGACATGTCAATCTACACTACTTTTTAATCTTTAAACTTTATATATAAAGATGAAAATATATTTTAAGGCCATCACAAAGATTTCTAGTCTTCAAACCACATTTCTCTATAATATTTGAAAGTAGGCTCTAATTTGATTGTTTAGAGCCTAGGCTCTATACAAACCGCACCCATATATTATTGATATTAAGGCTGGCAGTGGGTCAGGCCACCATGGTCCCCATAGGGTCGGCTCGTCCGATCCCTAATAGGGCTAAACAGTTCTTGGGCCAAGCCCTGCCCTAAACCTATTACGGCTGATCCGGGCTAAATAAATAATAAATAAGTAAAGAAAAATTATGGTTGGACCGGGCTAGGCCCAAGCCATCGGGCCACATGCCCTAGATTTTAAGGGCCTGGCCACCCGCCACACCTTTTGCCGTATACAAAGATTTAGGAATTACATAAGGAAAAAGTTTATATAAGGTTGCAACCTTAAAATAGTAGAATTACAGATACATCTCAAAAATCCATCGGAAGCGATTGTTTTAATGTTGAAAAACCCCTCTAATTCATCATCTCGACATCGAGATGTAGGAATATGAAAAAAAAAGAAAAAAAAAAAAGATTTTGAGTCCTATAAATAATGCATCTTGCAACACATTATCTAGACCGTTCATTTTCAAGATTTTCATGTGATTATAGATCTACTTGATTTCATCTATTTTTGGAGATTCAAATTTTATAATTAGAGATGAAAAGGGATTTTAAGATAATCTTAAGAATTTTTTGTACCAAAATTATATATGATGATCAAATTTGGAAGTGCACCTTATAGAAACCATGCCCATATATTGTTGAAACAAGGTGTACCTTACAAAATCATCAAAAAATAGTATTCCCATACTGGAAAAACTTTACATTTATTATCTTTACCTCGAGATGTACAGATAAAAAAACAAAAAGATTTCAAGTCATTAGTGTTTGCTTGTTGTAGTGCATTATTTGGACAGTCAATTTTAAAAAAAAATACTCTTCATGGATTCGCTCCATCTGCATTATTATTTGATCTCTAAATTTCATAATTAGGGATACAAATAAATTTTAATATCATGACAATGACAAACCTTTTCTGCTACCGAAACTACACCTTTAAGCATAGTTTAGTCTTTAAAGGTTTGCCTTAATGTGATAGTCTAGGTGTAATGCTTTATACAAATCTCACCTTTAGAGAAATATGTGTTTTAAAAAAGGATTGAATAGTAATAATAATAATGAAATTCATTTTTAAGTTACTCAAGGTTATAATAGTAATAATAATAATGAAATTCATTTTTAAGTTACTCAAGGTTATAGAAATTTGGAATAACATTAAAAATTCCAAAAAAAAAAAAAGGTTTTAGTTCTGAGTGGAATGGTTTGATACTTCCCAAAATCCCGAATTATTCTCGGTCCAAATCGGAGATTCTCAATCTGAACAACTGAGTTTTAGATAACCGGGAAAAATCAAATTCGCTTACAATATCCAGAAATAGGACATGGTCATGTCCTCTATTTCTCAATCACCATTCTTCATTCTAATCATCGGCTACAATTTGACCCAACAGACTATTCTTTTGGTAACCAATGGATCATAGTGTACTAACACAAAACTAGAGGGGAAAATATATGCGTTAAAGGCGAGGGTATAATTGCCATCCAATACAAAAAGTAAGGGAATCCATGTCATTTTTCCTAGGCGATGGTACGAAATGTACCGACTTTCCGAGTCTACGAATCGCTGACCGAAACGAAGGGGAAGATTTTTTAAAACCTTGAAAAGACTAAAATGCCCCTGCTTAAAATGAGTGTTTTTAGTGGAAACTTGATTAATTCTCAAAATATAAAAGGTGTGGTTTGCATAATGTTGCAACCTTACACAAGCAAATTACGGTGCACCTCTAAATTTTATCATAACACACAATTTTGGTGTTAAAATTCTTACGATGGCCTGAAAATATATTTTATCTCTAATTATAAAATTTTAGATTTAAAAAATAATTTAAATCAAGTAGATCGTAAACATATAAAAATTTTGAAAATGAATGGTCTACATAATGTATTGCAAGATGTATTATTCTTTAGACTCAAAATCTTTCTTTGTTTTCATATTCATATATCTCGGTGTCGAGATGATCAATAAGAAGGTTTTTCAACATTAAAATAATATTTCTCAATTGCTTTTTGAGGTGCACTTTAATTCCACATTTTAAGCTTGCAACCTTATATATACTTTTTCCAAATATTAAACCATAGGTGCCCTCAATTATTAACTAGCCGTCAATTATTAACTAGGGCATAATAAATACAATAGGTTCGAGCTAAGCATTCGATCATATGGTTGACAGTCTCTAAACACATAAATATATACGTATTGAGCATATAGGACTATCTTTAAAATAATAGTTTTCCTTACTAATAATGTATATAGTACATGTTTAATTTCAAATGAAATACTCCAACTCAAACATGTGATATCAATAATGAATGGTTTGACTGTGAGGTTTGAGTGTGAGCTCTTTTAATATGCTCTTTTAATTGTCTTGGCAAAACTATGCATAAATATTTTTCACCATGCTATTTATTTTATAATCTATATATAGAATTTTTTTTCTTTTAAAAAAAGGAGAATATGTTTTTAAATTTATAAGACAAATATTTGAGTTCAAATATGCATTGCCTTCGCCAAATTCAACGAAGTGGCACTAAAAATCTTGGCTATTTTTGTAAGATGAAGGCGGCAGTTTCGCAATTGTTTGTTAAATCGCTCAGAGCCATTTATGACCTATTAAATATAGCAAGATTTGAGTAATTTTTTCAATAAGAACAACATTAATTAAAAGGAAATTTATCGATATATACCCATGAGAGAGAAACAATTTAATATTTTACCCACTTGAAACTATTCTAACTCATGATCTTGTGTTTTTTTATGGTTATTTTGAAATACAATTACAAGATATAGATAAAGTATTAAATAGTAAATCTCCTATGAATAATTTAATAAATTTCCCTTAATTGAATGGTGATTTTCTCCTCTTGCTGACTGATATAAGCATCCAATGTCAACAACATAAAATGGAGGAGTGAAGCCCATCAACCATCTGTTATTGATGAGAAATTTGAGGAACCTATTTGTATCCATGCATAACAAGGTATTATAGTATTATTCAGTTGAGCAAGACAATTTATCTTTTAAAAAGGCAGTATGATCCACATCCTAAAAGTAGCAATGTGCCCTATCACCCTCCAATTAATGGGTTCCATGGCGATGAAGAAAGTGTAGGGCCTGTATGATTTATTTTGTTAAATCATACATCAATAAATTTTGCATAACTCCAAAAGATTATATGTTTCTTCAGGAGCATATCGTACACTCACTCTCTATGGCAAAACCTATCTAGGAGTATTTCCATGACCGAGAAATTTGGGATGGAATCTTTTCAAATATCAAATAGGGAAAATTTTCAGAAATGCTTTTGTATGTGCTTTAACAAAATGTTCGAAGATGAACAAAGACTTTTTCGATTTTTGGATTGTCAAATTTAAATGAGAAGGAGCACATGATATACTTTATCTTTTTATTCTCATTCTTTTTAAATAAGAAGGAACACATAATCAGAGTAGATCCAAAAATCTCAAATCTAAGAATGAACTCAAAGCAAAGGTAGTCGTAGTGGTTGGTGTCACACCATGATGTATTGAGTTCCATTCTTATTATGGGTAAATGACTCATTCTTCGATGAATGAAAAAAAAAAAATCGATCAATAATGTATTCTTAAGTAGGTCCTTTGCCCGATCAATACATGTAGTGAATCCATATAGTTGTGCTATAAAATTTGAAATTTCTAGCTGAGTTCAGAAATTGAAAATAAAAACAAAAGAAGCATTTTTATTCTAATTTGAAGGACCTTTAGATTAAAGTGGACAGGTTCTCAATCGTACGATCCAAACAAGCCACCCAACTTTCATTTTGGGTATGCAACAACCAGTCGTACTTCATGCAAACATTGTGGAACTTTGGGAAAATGAACGTGTTCTTGTTAGTAAGGAAAACTGTACAATGCTAGCATTTGGGTTTCAATCAATTTGCTAGCACTTCAGCGACGACAACATGTGATGCCGACAACAGCCGGTTTGGGTGCATTGTTCCTCAGAATGTTGATGAAAACCAACTGTTTCTGGTGATGCCGGACAGTTGGGAACGTGCTAGCAAACTGTTTGAAACTCAAATGTCGGGAAGGTGCTAGCAAACTGTTTGAAACCCAAATGTTGGCATATATCAAGATTTATTTTCTAATACAAGCGAGGTGGCTTAAACCCATCCCAAACCCAGCTATGGAAACCAATCCTACTCCGGATGGAGGAGTTATTTTTCTCTCTTCATTATAGCCAATTTGTTATTTTTTACACTTTTTAATTTTTATCCATTACTACTTTTGTGAGTGCAAGTTAGTTTAAGTGGAAGGCTAAAAAAATAATAAGGGATAGGCTCAAAAAGATATGGTTGGAAGTAGTGAGAAAAGATACAGGAACTTATGACTTCATTGAGAATATACCCCTTAATAGAGCAAAATGATATACCATAATTCATGTAGCCAACCCAATTATGTGGGAAAAGGATTTGACAATGATGATGTCT